AAATTCGAGTCTATACTAGTATGATTTATTCCTCGAATTTCGATCGGAATTTACGACGTATTTCCATATATATATTTATGATTAATGGATTATTGTACTATGAAGAACTATTAGAAGAATTAATGGTTTTAGCATGTTTCAAATTTATGATATTTATAAGATAATTTAGTATAAAAAGAACATATTTTTTTAAAGATTTATTTTATTTATAAATAAAATTGTTTAAGCCAAAATTTAAGTTTAAACAAAAGCACAAAATTTATTGTAATTTTCTATAATATTTCAACAAGAATTATACATATTCAGACTGCAAGAAGTTTGTTACAACAATATGTGTGTAAACTTTTTATTATGGAATGTTTTAGCTATGTTTTTGCAGTATAATTTCACAAGCAACACACAAACAGTTTTCAGTGTTTAATTTAGAAACTTTATTTTCTCTTCCAAGAAACACCGCATTTCATCTAAAGATATAAAACAAAAATGTGTAAAAACATAATATTCTCTAAAATTTTTTGCTGATATTTCAGTGTTCTTCAGGTTTCTAATAGATCAATATTTACCGAATTATGTAAAAAAACTATGATTTTCACGTAATTTAAATCCATCAGTTTCAATGCAAACAACCATTTTTTGTTTGTAGTCGCAATGAGCTTTTGATGGAATAAACTGTAATGATGGGACGTTAGATTCGTCGGACGAAAAAAAAGTTGTAACTTTTTCAGAGCACGGAGGGCTTTTAAACTTTCCATCCTACCGACGTAATTTATGCACCCCGCACTTCTTGTAAGGAAATTGGATTCTCTTCCATAATGTCCTTATGTATTAAGGCGCATCGAACGGGAGAGAGAATCTTCCCACCTCCGGAAAGTTTCCTCCCGACATATTCCGTTACTTCCACAATGAAAGACAATGTTTTGCCAAGAATAAAAGTTAATGTAATTTAATTTCTCGCTCGTTACAATACATTTTTTGTTACGTTACGTCTTCTTAATGGATTTTTCAGAAGATTGAAGAAATTAATAACTGTTATCAAGTTTGGCTTTTATATTCTTCAGTATTTATTCAATAAGTAGTATTTTTTTAGGTTTAGAAAGAAATGTTGGTTTAGTTCCAATGTTGACGTATAGATGGCGGATTTTTTAAAAAAAATTGATGACATCCGCCCCAGTGGCCTAATGGATAAGGCATCGGCCTCCTAAGCCGGGGATTGTGGGTTCGAGTCCCATCTGGGGTACAAGTTACTTTTTTATATATAATTACATAAATAGAATAATTAAGTTTTAATAAATTCTATTTAATTTTTGGACTAATAATACAATTTTTAGTTTAGTTGATGAATTTATATGCAGATGGCGTCACATTTTGTTTTTGACGTCTGTCAAATATTTACAAACGAATTAAGTTTTTTCAGATGTATGAAAATTTTAAATAGTAGTTCATATTACTATTGAAAATTATAGAAAAATATTTTTTGATATAATTAAAGTTTTTTCAGGTATTTTAAATAAAATTTGAAATATTAGTTCAAATTGCTATAAAAAATAGTACACGCTTATATTTTGGTAGAATTAGAGTGCAAAGTTCAAATATTTACAAGTGTATCAAGTTTTTTCAAATGTTGTAAGTAATATTTCAAAAAGTAGTTCAAATTACTATTGGAAATAATACAAGCTTCTTTTATTACTAGAATTAGAGTGTAAAGTTCAAATATTTAGAAACGAATCAAGTTTTTTCAGATTTTGTAAATAAAATGTCAAAAAGTAGTTCAAATTAATATTGAAAATGATAAAAGCTTGTTTTTTTTCTAGAATTAAAGTGTAAAGTTCAATTATTTACAAATGAAGCAAGTTTTGTTCAAATCTAGTAAGT